GGGACCCGACTTGCGCCCGATAGATACTTGATATTAAAAATTTTTATCAGAAAAAAACCTAAAAGAAATCTTGCTTTAATTTTCTCTAAAATGCCTCTTAGACCCTGTATAAATATCCTTCTTCATTCCTTTTTCTTATTGTACACAAATGGAAGCGACAAACAACGACCAAAAACAGGAAATAAAATGGTAATGAAAAAAAGTCCTACCTGATCGTGTGTCATGGCCTCTAATTCTGCTGCCAGACTCGTCTCGCCGGCGGTCAGAAGACGTCCCTGTTCCACCCCCGCAGACAGGAGATTCGCTTGCAATTCCTCGTTCTGTTCTTGCAACTGGTTGTTGCGTTCCCTCAACGAGGCCATTTCTTCGTGCAATTCTTCTAGTCGTAGCGTCTCGGGGGATGTGGTGGGCAATGCGGGAGTTCGAGCCTCCGCCCTCAGTCTTTCCACTTCACGGGACAATTCCTCGATCAGGTGATTGCGAGATTCTTGTTCTTGTTCGTGTCTAAACGAAAAAAAAAAAACAATGCATCAATAAAAAAATATGATAATGATAGAGCAACAGGCAGTTATAGAGCTGGGGATGCAACGTAGAGAAGTAAATATTAGGAAGGGAGTCAGGCAGGGATGCACACTGTCACCGCTACTTTTTAATCTATACATCGAAGACGCCATCAACATCATTAAAGACAGTACAACTGTAGGGATAGATGTGCAAGGGCAAAAGATTAGTATGCTTAGATTTGCAGATGATATAGCAGTATTAGCATCTAGCAAGGAGGACCTAGAGATAGCTTTAAATAAAATGGAAGCGGTACTGACAGATCAGTACTGTATGAAAATAAATAAAAGTAAAACTAAAATACTGATATGCAAGGGAAGAAAAAGTAGGGAAAGAGCGAATATAAAGATAGGAGACGAAAAATTAGAAGAAGTGGCTGATTTTAGATACCTAGGAAGTCAGATAAGTGAGGATGGAAGGAGTAGTAGGGATATAAAGCAGAGGATAGCGCAGGGTCGTGTCGCCTTTAATAAAAAGAAGTCACTTCTATGCTCGCGAACGGTTAATTTAGAAATTCGAAAAAGGTTGTTAAAGGTGTATGTTTGGAGCACGGCGTTGTACGGGTGCGAAACATGGACAGTGGGAGCGGCGGAAAAGAAAAGGTTAGAAGCGTTCGAAATGTGGTGTTATAGGCGGATGATGAGGATATCGTGGGTAGAAAAGGTTAGAAATGAAGAGGTATTGGAAAGAATAGGAGAACAGAGGACTCTATGGAAGTCAATAAAAAATAGGCGAGATAGGTTGGTAGGACACCTTCTCAGGCATGAAGGTCTAGTCAGAGACATATTAGAGGCAGAAACAGGAGTTAGGAGGGGTAGAGGTAGACCTAGATTAGATTACTGTTCGCAAATAGTTAAGGATGTGGGCTGTTCTAGTTTTAGGGAAATGCGAAGTTTAGCTCAGGATAGGAAAGAGTGGAGGTACGTGTCCAACCAGTCTAAGGACTGATGACCTTATGATGATGATGATGAATGATAGACAGAAAATATTAGAAATGCAAAGATATTGGAAAATGTTAATTACACACATATTACTAGAAGAAGAAACAGGAGTAAAAAGAATGTGGGATGTTCACATTTTCTGGAAAAGTGATGATTGGTTCAGGATAGGAAGGATCCAGGGTGCGAATTATTGAAATAGTTTTATATTTACTTTTTTTCCTGCTCCTTGAACGACGTTTCGTTGTCTTTCGTGGACATTATTTCCATTTTGAGATCTTGAACCTGATCGAAGAGGTCGTTACGTTCTGCCTCGAGCTTCTCCAATTTCACCCTTTGTCTGTTGACTTCTTCGCGTAAGTTTTTGGCTTCCGTTTCCGCCGCCTGGAGTCTGATGCTTGCATTCTCTAGTTGTAACTGCTTCTCTCTGTCGATCCTTGCTACAAGTTCTTTTGATCGCTTTTGTTCGTCCTTTACAAAAAAAAAATAATAATAATAACGTATCACAATTTACAGATATCAAACAAATACATAATAATTAAAATATAATAAGTCAGTGGCGGATAGTTACAACGTCGCAGGGCCACAACTTACTAGGAAAACCCCAATAAATAAAAATTCCACCTTCGTACCTGTAGTCGTTGTTCGTAACGCATTTCGACGTCTCTCAGCTGCTCTTCGAGCATGACAATTCGGGCCTGAAGGGCTGCGTTGTCCGCCTTGGCCCTCGTATACCGTTCATCGTTATGGGTTGCACTGTCCTGCAATACACCCACCTGTTGCTGGAGCAGTTGAAACTGGAACAAAATTAAAATTATTATTACAAAAAACGAAAAGTGCCTACATACATTTACACCATTAATACTGAACAACTTCTATGCCAATACCAACATAAAAAATTTTAACAATCAGGAATTTAATAACGTTTACAGATTTCCTAGTGCTTTTAATTTGAAAAAATCGTATAATTAATCAATAATAATAGTCACAGACATGTTTGCATACATAGTAGACATTATTATGTTCATGGTCGTCAGCATTCTTTTAATTGATAATATTATTGATAATTGTGTTGTAGCACTCGGCTCGCTAATTTGTGAATGATATCGGCCCACGTGGTTTAAAAGTGACCAACTATCAGTAGAAACACATGCGTATGTGGAATACCCAGTAAGTTGATTAGAAAGGAAGGTACAAAACATTTTTATCAGCACATTGCCTATTTACACTACTTACCTACATCGAAAATTTTATAACGGAAATCTTATCAATGTAATAAACAAATGAAAATTTCGTAAAACATATCAAAATATGAGTATCTCAGAAAAGTATCTACATACATAAGCCTATTTATATGTCGTATAAGCATAAAATTTGTCGCTGATTTGTTACCTACTTTCAGAATTTGTCGCTCCAGACGATTACTGGAAAATAGACAAAATGCTAGTCTGATATCAAGCTGGTATTGCACATAGAAATACAAATAATGTACTATAAGGGTTTCATTTGTCACTAATTTGTTACCAAATCCAAAAATTTGTCGCATCACCCGGTTACTGCAAAACAGGCAAAATGCTAACCCGATATCAATCTGACACTACACATTACGTATCTCGAAATATAAATCGCGATAAAATAGTTCAAAGTACCATTTTTCAGCGACAAATAAGTGACAAATTGTAGCCCTTGCAATATTTGTCTATGTCATTTCCATTTCGATAACAATCTAACCCTACACATCACGTATCTCGAAATAGTTATCGCGACAAAATGTTCAAAATACCATTTTTCAGCGACAAATTATACCTCTTACAGTATTTGTCTATGTCATTTCCATTTCGAGATATGTTTCGTGTTGTACAGCTTGATATCTGGCCTGCATTTTATCTATTTTCCAGTAACCGGCTGGAGCGACAAATTTTTGGATTTGATAACAAATTAATGACAAATTTAGCCCCTACAGTATTTGCTACCCCATTTGTATTTCGAGACAGACTGTGTGCAGTACCAGTTTGATATCAGACTATCATTTTGTCTATTTTCCAGTAATCGAATGGAGCGACAAATTTCAAAATTAGGTAACAAATTAGCGACAAATTATATTGTACTTTAAAAATAAGAAATATAACTTTGTCGTGCTAGTTTGATACACATCTCCACAACGACAAATGTTCCCTAATTTACCATCTTATCGCCTGCACATATCAAAAAATTAACATGCAACTAATTACTTGATCGGTTATTCCTTCGCACCAAACATGTGCGGCCGTTTTTTTGGCGCCGTTGGTGTGACTGGGTAGGAAGGGCGGGGGTTTCAACAACCCCTGCGGTTCTATTGTTTGATCGTTTGCGGGACCGACAAACTCGAACTGGCCCTCCCACATGTCGTACTCCATTTCGGGGAGGTAAGGCAACGACGAGTCGTCATTTTCACCGTTACTGCTACCGTTTTTCGCCACCTCGTTTTCATTCATTTTCCCGAACAAGAGCATCACACGACGACACCCTATTCACACACTTTCGACTGACCACGCTCGAATAACAGCAATTAAAGTCCATTTTCAAACGCGCCAGAAGACACAGACACTGTTTATATTATTATCGTCGATGACTCCAATACACTGTACAACAATAATAATAATATGTATTTACAAATGACTTAATTGATTAGCCACAACTGAACCGATGGTAAATTTTAATA